TCTCTAGACACTACTACTCCAGGCCCAGTTTGTACATGAATTAACCATGCAGGCCATAGGAAACGCAACTTTAGCACCAACCTGCTATATTTTTAAAAATCTAGGCTTGAGCCTAAACGTAAAAGAATGATGATAATATTGTGGGAGATCTTTGATCAGTACCAAAAAGTAGGGTGAGATTTCTTTTACATGTTTGTACCATTCTGACTTAGTTGATAAATGTTTGCAGTCAAATAAAACAATTTAAAACTATGTAATAATTATCTCCTATGAAAGAATAAGCTGCATTTTGTGATCAAATGTTGAATGCCGAAAGGTAACTGAAAATGTGGCAAGGTCTCTGCAACTGCTGTCATGCAGCAAATGTTAAACCATTTCTCATGATCATTTCCCTGATATTGCCCTTAATATATTCAAACCTTCATTTTAATAATGACCTTTAGTGATATGAACCTTGATCCATCGAGTTGCCATTCACTTGCAACGCATCTCCAAATCCCCTTTTTATGCATTTGAAATCAACACATGCTTTCGTTGAATTTATGCATGTGTGTAGAAGGAGATGTAATTTACACACATCTGTTCAAATATGCATTTCAGATAAACTTGGTACTGGTTCTCATAATGTGGCTTGAGGTTTTGACGTGTATTATATCCCCAAAGTACACACCAGATGGTATTTATTAGAGATTTAATGGAAATGAAGTTTAAGGATGTTGAGCTTTTGTCTTAAGTCTCTCATTTTAAAGTCATAAAACAGTAATGATCTGAAGCTATAAATCTTTAATGAAGTTTTGTACAAGGTTTCATTTGTATGGGAAGTGTATACTATTTAAAGCTGAGTAAGCCTGAGCAGGGTCCCGGCTGAAATTATTCTTTGAAGGAAATCAGTGATGAAAAGTAGGTGCAAGAAGCTTTTAAGCTGTGTTTACTTGCTAAGGAACCCACCTCTAGGAGCCTGTGCTACTGCCATGGAAACCAAAAGATAGCTTATTTCACCAGCATATAGTTGAAGTCAGATAATTATGTTAGATATTTTAAATAAAACTCTATGTCATTAAGCTCGAAAGGAAAAAGCCAAAGAAAGTTGGAAAATCTTAGTTTGTCATCACGCATAAATCCGGTCTGTCCAGTCATTTTTGTTAATCATTAAGAAAAGTGTCAAAGAATAGTCTATGTTCCCTGTTTTTTAATAATGGCCATGTAGTAGTGTTTAATTTTTTTTAAGAGATAGAAGTATCATATTGTGGATACAGATCAAGAATTACCAGTATTGTGCCACCTGATAAAAGTTTTGAAGTATTGTTTTTTGGGGGATTGTATGTTTTTGATTTAAGTTTAAGGCTGCATAATTTCAGCCTCATTGCACCTAAGGTGTGGTATAGTCACTTTTACAACTTAGCAATATACTACACTGGCTGGAGATTATTATTTATTGCGATGTGGCTGTAACTATCACACTGGTTTTTACTAGTTGTAACACACATCTTCATAAGATGGATGATAAAATTCTTCTCACCACTAAGTATGATGTTAATATTGAAAGACAGCTTACCCATTGTGATAAATTATCAGTTGATAAATGACTTGCAAGATTTGTTGCACCATCAAATAAGCAATGTTGCCAGAAAGTTAAATCAGTGTTACATATAAGATAGCACCACTGATTGTAGGCAGAATTCTAGATGTTTGAGTGACATAAATTGTGATTAAAATGAAAATCTACCATTAGGGTTGTTTGCATATTTAATCTGAGGTTGCTGGAAATTTTGCCAATGCATGTGCCCTGTACAATTCAGTGAGGGCACACCACAGATTAAGTCGGATAAAAGTGACTCACCAAGAATGTAGGTGACAGAAGACTTCTGCTTGGGAATTGGCTAGCAGCATGCAACAAGGGTAGAAAAGGGAAAGAGATGAAAAATACAAGGGCAACGTATTCTGACTCAAAATCCTGGTTTGGAAAGAGGGTCATTTGAGTGGTCCATTAAGATAACTTGGTTCCACACACTTCAGTGCTTTAAAGGTCATACCAAGCACTTTTAATTGGATACTATTGATTAAGACAGGCGGCTGTATCAGAGACAGCTCTAGTAGTGTAAGATTTGTAAACAAGATATGACAGGGAAAAGCTGGCATGTGGCACAGTGGAGATGGTCTTGTGCACACTGGAAAGAATTCGTTAGTGTTTGACAACACTGTACAGAAACAATGATGACTTTTGTAAAGTTTGCAGGATAAATAGCAGTTTTAAATGCTCTACAGAGCTCTGTCATAAAATATAGAACAAGCATGTCAGACAGAAAGTGCAGCTGCATTTCAGTGCAGTGTTTCAGTGTTGCATTGAACTGAGGATGCAGTAGTTGGTCTTCTCTTTCTCAGATATGTATTGTAAATTCCCGATTCTTCTAGTGAGGGAATCACATTTAATTTTTTCATTCAAAATTGAAAGGGCACTGGAGTAATTGCATTTTCTCTTACACGGGCTACTAATTCTGTATTCCTTTTCTCCTTTTAAAATGTATTTCTATTACATGTCTGTAAGAATGTTAGGGAGAGCAGAAAGCACTTTTTAAGAATGAGGTCAGACCCGTTTCATTAGGTTTTAGTATTGAATTAAAGCTAGTCCTTCCTTGGTTTTTATTTTGTTTGGAATAACTTTGTTAGAGGAAAATGAATCTTTAATAACCATATTCTCACCAATAGGACATGCTAAGTGTGTGTGTGCGTGTGTGTATTATAAAATGACAGTCAAAGAGGAGATTGTTCTGTGGAACACATATAATGGACATTTCACTGATTTTAGCATGAGCACGACTGATATTTACCATTCATGTTCCCATAGAAACAGGGAAACACACATGCGATGGATGGCAGTGTCGTTGCTGTAGGTATTACATGCTTTCGCTGTTGCCAGCTGTGTCATTAAAATGACTGGTATAACTAACTGTATAAATTTGTTTTGTCAAATGTAATGCACTTCTTGTTAATCTTTAAGATGTAGACAGTGGTACTTACCATTCATTTTTAGACCAATAGTCTCTGTTAATTCTGTCAGGGATGCTGATCTTGCCTATATGAAGCAAGAATAGAATTTATAATTCTTCGATATTATAATTGTGGAATACATATACCTGCATGTCCTGGAAGAATTCAGAAGTACATTTAACACACATTTAGTGCATATGCTTAGATACATTGACATTGCTGTGATGGGGTCAGTCCGGTATTCTGTATGACATCCAAACAGCTTGTGGCCAAATGAATGAATGAAGGAATGTGGGGTATGGAAAGGTATTATTTATTTATTTTATTTTCCATTTGTATATTATAGCAAGCAAGAATTCTTAGCTTATCCTGTGTTGCTATGAATGAGCAAAATGCATCCATGTATAGCGCATTTCTTCCCATTTGGCTCTTACCTTTGCACAAGTAGGTAATATCAGTCAAGAAGAGATAGCTTGTTGTGATGTCTGAAGCTAGGATTCTGGTTCATTATTCCCTTTCAAGCAAGTGTTCAAATGCCAACAACAAACCCTGGTTTGTTTGTTTGTTTGGGAATAACAAAGTAGGATCTAAGGTTCAAGTGTCACAATAAGCTATTGCTTCCTGGTTAGTGTCACCTGATTGCACAAAGAGAGGATCAAATATGATGCATGTACAACATTGGTTCATATTACACCAGGACAAGCCAGCAATTATGGCTTATCTGTATGTGAATATAACCATTGTTTTCCTTTGTACTTTCCCAAGAGGATGTTTCTGCAGTCAAGTCTTGGAAACTGCTGTGTAGAAATACTCTGAACTGCTATAGCTTAGTTGGCCATCTCATTTTGTCCTGTGTCTTACTCAGCCTTGGCAATTGCTCTGTGTCCTCAGTATGTGAATATTATGTATGGAATAGCAAAAGAATGAAATTATTGGAAAGACTCTCCTCTTCCCACTACCTTTTTAATATGCAAGGCAGGGAGTGTTTAAAGGGAAGGAAGGACTTCAGCCTTTCCAAGTCCTGTCTTGCTCTATTCTTCCCAACTTCTCATTTCCGTACTTAAAGGTGTGGTCCTGTGCATGCTTAGAAAAAAAGGCATTCAACAGCCAGCGTGCTCCAGCCAGAAAAAAGACCTCTGGTCCCCAGATGTTACAGCCAGCTTGGCTGGCTTGGGTATGTGGAGAGTTGTAGGCCTTTCTTCTGTCCAAACATGGATAGGATTGTGCTCCTAATGTTCAGCAGAATAGCAGTATTTGACTCATGGCCAACCTTCTTCAAATGCAAAAATCAATCCGACAAGTACCAGTACCAAATAACCTCTGTATACATTATTTTAATTCCCTGAATACTATTTTCCTGCAATTTAAAATTATGTTCACAACCCTGCAGTTTATCCATATTTGCAGTGAGTGGCTACACTAAGGAATGCACTGCCTTACTTGGTCTCTGGTTATAATTGAATATGGTACCAAATCAGGAGTTTTTTTCACATTTTCTCCCCCATCCCCCAGCTGTATCACTCTTTCCACAGTATCCAGCACATGGTTACCAAAACTTTTGTTCCACTTTTTAGATCTCTATTTTCTGTTGAAAGACAAGTGTATGTTCCATTTCAAAAATTATCCCATTTTTAACTCGGTCTCTTGATAGACATCTATGTTACAAGTACAAAGCAGTTTAATTTTCCTACAAGAACCCTGGGATTTTTAGTTTGTGCAGCCTGCTGAGAATAATCTATTGGAAATCTAAGCCCCTTCACAGAACTAAAATTCCAAGTTTTCTCCATAGGAAACCATAACAGTTAAATGACTTTAATGTTGTTGTGGAGATTTCCCTTATATGTACATGTTTAATAGCTGCCATTTTCCATAGTCAAAAGCAGAATTTGAACAGCCTGTCAAGAACTTTGAGGAGTTATGATGTAACACTCTAAATGCCTGGTATTTTGCTAAAGAAAAAAAACCTAATGTCCAGTCCTCAATTTAACACCTTTTGTTTTTATTCATTACAGAGTGCCTGGAATAACAATTGCTACAGACATTATTTGTGGGTTTCCAGGGGAAACAGATGAAGATTTTCAAGAAACCATGAAGCTTGTAGAAGAGTACAAATTTCCAAGTCTTTTTATTAACCAGTTTTACCCACGCCCTGGGACTCCTGCTGCTAAAATGCATCAAGTTCCAGCCCAAATAGTAAGATTTTTTTCTTCTAATTCCTGAAAGATACATTATATGTGATGTAATATACCATAGAATGGCTACTGGATGTTAACTTTACCTGTGGATTTTATCTTGCAAGGTATTGAGAGTATAATAATTCTAGTTTGGTTTGATTAGTCTCATTCAATTCAGAGGGGGAGGTTTGGAAAATTCTTTATTATTTAATATTTTGTAAAATTTAATGTGAAATACAGTCTGCTAATTAGTTCATGATCAGAATTAGAGATGGGCTTGATTATGGTTTATTTTTGCTTAACCAGATTCATATAATTATGATGCAAAGCAGAAAGATGATGGGGTAGGGGAATGTCAAGGTAAAGGTGAGAAAAGATATGAGGATGGGATGTGGAACTTGCCAGTTTCTTCCCAATGATCAAATTCAGACTGTTGAAGCATGCCTAACCATTTTTTTTTGAGGGTGGGGGGAGCTCTGGAAGTATCAATATCTTTGCACACATCAGCTAATATACTCCAAGATGGACTCAAATTTACCTTTTTGCTAAGCGAAGGAATATTTCCATTTTCCTTTTAATCTTTTCATGTGTGCAATTGGCCCGGGTTACCTGATCAGACCCTTACAGGACTGTTTCCCCCAGGACCTGGGTAGGGCTGTGATTCAAACACACACACCTAATTCATCTACCCATTCTTTCAGCTTGTATGGCCAGTATTCCATTTCTTCTGCTTTATCTGTAATCTTCCAGGTTTGAAGAGGAGAGTTGCAGATCATGAGCAGTAGACAGAATTCATAGTGGAGACCACTTAAATTTTCCCAAGCAGAGAACTCTGCTTGCACAATGGGGCCTGCATTCCCACACCTCCTCAATACAGACCCCAACACCACCTAGACTGCTATGCCTGAGCCTAGGGAATCTTCCAGAATGAAGTGGATTTGGCTTGACTTGCACAAGATGGTGGTAGGCTCTCTCACACTGGAGACATTCAAAAAGAAACTGGAGAGCCATCTGAGTGGGATGGTGTTAATTGGTGTCCTGCAATAGCTGCGGGTTGGACTTGATGGCCTTCATGGCCCCTTCCAACTCTACTATTCTATGATTCTATGAGATGTCTCTATCTTAATGCTTGTGATTTCGCCTTTCCACTGCACCTTCCTGAGCCATGACCCCTGTTGTCCTTGAGGGTCCCTGACTCCCAGGGAGTACAACGAGGAGGAAGTAACAGGAAAATCCTCTGCATGAGTAGATTTCTACTTACACAATTTTGGATTTAGTTGTCTTTCCAGAAAGGAAAAAAAAAAAGTCTGCATCAGCCAACACAAAAGTTGGGGCATTCTCAGGGAAGATGAGACTTCCCCTTAGCTTAACCATCCGACTTCCCCTTTACTGCCTTGCCATCCTGTTGCCCATGCTGTTGCTGCTTCTGGCTGGATTCGGAGCTTCTTCTGAGAGAAGCTCCCATCTCCATCAAGAGGATGGAAACTCCCCCAAAGCTTGCCTCATTGCAGGTGCTTACCACCTGGCTTGGACTCTCAGCAAGCCCTCCTCTGCTAATTCCAGTTTGGTTCATTCCAGTAGCAATGAACTGGAAGAGAATGACTCCCAAGGTGGGGGTCACCCTTTTGAGGGGAAGGATGCTCTGGAAGAGTGCAAGGACAAGGGGCACCCTGCTAATAGTATAGCACAGATTACTGAAGCCAGGCTATTCCTGTTCAGATAGGGGCATAGCTGCTGCCCTTGAAGACTGTTCAGAAGCTGCAAATAGGGCAGCCAGACTAATAACCAAGATCAAAAGGGATGAACATATAACATCAATTCTGACTTGTTTTCATTGGTTGTCTATACAGTATACTTCTAAGCTCAGTTCAAGGTCCTGGTTTTAATTTATCAAGCCCTGTATGGCTTGGGGTCACTGGATAGAACACCTCTCCCAACTGCAGTGTACCCAGATACTGTGATCAAGAACTGGGGCATGGCTTTGACTGCTACTTTCCATGGAAGCTCAGTTGATAGCAACAAAAAAGGATAGCCTTCTCAATGGTAGCCCCCAAATTTTTTGCGGGGGAATCCCCACTGAGGCTTGGTTGATGTCCTTTCAGGGCCAGGTTTAGACTGTCCTCTTTGACAAAGCATTTTATCAGCTCTAAATATGTCAAGGTATAAAGTCAGCTATTTTTGATGGTAGCACTCTTTAAAAGAAAGTCCATTTTGTCAAACTGTGTGTTGAGTGACTATCAGAGTCAACGTAACTATTAATAAAATGTAAACTTATTTTGAATCCATAAATGAGTGAACCAGTTATCATGTATTATTGGATTGTATGTGGTTTGGTTCCATCTGTCTAGGGACATTCTTAAGACAAATGAAAATTGTGGGCTTCTTAACATTCAGTACTTGGTTTATGATACAAAAGTTGCTTCAGACAGTAATCTGGAAGCATTGTTTCTTGGTTCTGGAAGTACAATAGACTGGCTAGATCTTCAGTGATAAAGAAAACATGTGTTTGGAGGTATTTTTCTCCCTACTGAGACCTTGACTGAAATTAAACTATTTTCTGCCTCAATCTTGATAAGACACAAGTGGAATAGCTAGGGCTATATGTACATAATACTTTTTGGAAAGCTGCTTGGTCAGAGAGATCCAAACAGCTGGGTTTTCAGCTTCTTTAAACGTTCTATGTGGGTAACCTCTAAGGCTTGTAAGGGACTATTAGACCCTATTAAAACCTCCTGGTGTTGCACCACTTCCCCACGGTGGCCATGGCCAAAAGTGGCTGTGCAGCCGCATTGCAGTAGGTGCAGCTCTGCCAAGGAAACAGGACACATGATCTCGTGTGAGCCCTCATCGGCATGGTGGCAATCTGATGGCATGCAGGGTTATGTGCTGCCAGCCTTGCTCAGGAGATCTGCTCTTGGATTGAGAAAATACCATTCGACAGGGAAGGGCTCTTCTGCTCTGGAACAGATGAACAACTGCACACCATCCAGAAGGCCAGGGTGACAGCCATGTGCATAGGATCCAGCCCCTTCCAGCCTACAAGAGCACATAAGTGGCCATGGGGTCAACCCATGCATTACCAGGCTCCCAAACAATATTTCTGGATGCCAACAACAACAGCACCCACCCACCGAGACATCCTAACAGAGGAAGTTAATAGTTTACTAGCAAAAGGGTTGATCTGTTCAGTTGACCAATCCAAAGTACCACATGGTTTCTATTTGAGGTACTTTACTCTTCTGAAGATGGCAGTTTCCATCCAATATTAGATCTTCAGGGAGTCAACTACTTTATCCCAAACAAGAAGTTCCTAATGGTCTCTCTACAGTCTCCTGAAAATACTGCATGGAAAATCAGGGGACCCTACTAAATGGAGCAAGTTGTGGAGGGTAGGGTGGAATCCTAAAAATTAGAGAGACCATCAATAAACAGAAAATACCTTTCTCTCTTAAAGCAAATCCTGGATTCAACCCATCAGATTTAAAGAGAATATTCAGATTCACTATAAAACCCAGATGAATCACAGAGGTTCTTTTTGGAATTGAAACATTACAGTAACTAGCTTCTCTGAAAGAGAATATTTTGAATATTTTCAGAAAATCTCTGAATATTTAATTCACTTTCTAGGAAATAACATCCTTGATGTATTATCCTTGGGCTGCCAAAGTCCCTTAGATGCCATCTATACTGTTGGCCAGAGAAAGTGGCATGAAGGAGCGCTTGCATCCATATATGCCCAGCTGCCCCTTGAGATCGGCAGGGGAGGCCCTTCTCCAGGAACCCTCCATGAAAGAAATTAGGAGGGTGGGTACTCAGAGGAGGGCTTTCTCTGCGGTGGCGCCTAAGTTATGGAACGCGCTCCCCAGAGAGGTCCGCCTGGCGCCATCATTATTTGTTTTTCGGCACCAGGCAAAGACCTTTTTATTCAAGCGGCATTTTAACTGTTAACATTATTGGTTTTATTTGGCCAGGGCGGCTTATTTTATACTGTATTGCTGTATTTTAATTTAATATTTATATTTTTAATTTATATTATAATTATTTTAACCGATGATGTGAGCCGCCCCGAGGCTTCGGTGAATGGGGCGGCATAAAAATGTTTTAATAAATAAAATTAATTAATTAATTAAGCAAACACAATTTCCCAGGAATTTTCTCTAATATTTTGTTTTCTATAAAGCCTTTAGTATTGACCAGCTCAATTGTATGTTTTAGAAGCACATGGATGTTGCTTGAATTATTTTTTATTAACTGTTTCAAAGCAAAACCTCAGCAAATACAGTGGCAGAATAAGATAAACAAAATCAAATAAAATGTTATAGTTTTGTTGAATAAAGTTTAACATAAAATCTAGTATCATCCGTAACCCTATATGCGTATATGTATTGTATATCCTCCGTGTCTCTCTCTCTCTCTCTCTCTCTCTCTCTCTCTCTCTCTCTCTCTCTCTATATATATATATATATGTATGTATGTATGTATGTATGTATGTATTACGTGTAGCAAACCTTTGGTTAAAGTGATTATGCATAGACTTCAACAAAGGCATCCCAGATGTCCTTATATTTGTCCATTCATAAATAATGTCTAAAGACCACCCTTTTGAAAACTGAAAGTTTCACTACGCCCTCCACCTATTGTGTTACAGCAGATGGCCAATTATCTTTCCAGTGCTGAAGTATTAGTCTTTAGCTGTGCAGAAAATCCATTTACATTGACCTTGTGTTAAATTCCAAGAGTGAGATAGATAGTCAAGAAGAACATGTGTATAATTCAGTAGTAAGCAACTTTCCATTACCTCCTCCCATTGGCAACACCAAAAGATATGAATAAGAGAAGCCTTAGCTGCACTGAACTTCCAACAATTGGCTGATTTAATTAAGCCCTTATCAAAAAAGACTTTGTGGCATCCAATACACTCAAAATATCAGTTTTGCAGAATTAGACTTAGCCTAAGATCCATTCATTGCCTCTTCTGAAATAGACAACAATGAAGAACACAATTGATTGGGCAAAATG